TGATTGTATTTGTATAATAAAATAAATAAATAAATATTGTATTGTGTTTCTATCGGTGAGTAAGGTTTCGGTGAGTGAGTAAGGTTCCACACTTCTAGGGCTCCATGGTTAGGGGATTGAATTAGTTAGGCAACGGTGCATGTGATATTTTTGGTATCGCAAGCGTCTATATGCTATGGTGGCCGCTTACCATCAGACGGGCTATACGCTTGTTTGTCACCCTTTTAACATAAAAAGAGGGATGGTTGGGCGTTGGGCACTCGGGCGTTATATTGGCATTGATTCTGACATTATTCTCTAAACCTAGAATCAAATTTGACAACAGTGGTGTCGATTCTGGTACGATTCTCTAAATCTAAACTTAAATTTGACAACAGTGTTTCCTTGTCATTCTCTATACAGAATGAAAAAGAGAGACTGATGTTAAATTTAGTTTTAAGTTTAGAGAATCACGCCAGAATCGACACTAGTGTATCTTTGTCATTCTCTACATAGAATGAGAAGGGGAGACTACATTGGTATCGATTCTGGCATGATTCTTTAAACTTAAAACTAAATTTAACATCAGTCTCTCTTTTTCATTCTGTGTAGAGAATGACAAGGATACACTGTTGTCAAATTTAATTTTAGGTTTGGAGAATCATGTCAGAATCGACACCATTGTGCCATTCCTTACTGCTAGTGCCGCTGCTGTTACTATTGCTACTGCTTCATGACTCCTTTCACTGTCCAGAACTAATGAACTTTGCTTAATGGCTTATTTAAGAAGCGATTATACTTTAAAAACATTGTGCATTTAATATATATCAATATCGCCCTTTACAGTGTGTAATTTAAATTAAAATTATTATTTCTTATAATAAAAATCTAAATAAAAATCCAATTATCACAATCAAAAATAAACATATGAAACATCTCCATCATCCAATTATAATTTTAGTGTTAGTGTTGTTCATTGGGGGAGCGCATCCTCTCTTCTAATAACCAATTGCGTGCCCGACGGGGTCCATAATGCTCATCTCTTATCTATTAGACAAGTCCGTCCGTCCGTCTGTCTGTGGTGCTGTTTCAGCGGCCAAACCGTAAGAGATAGATAAAGAGAATATTTAAGTTATAAGTTAAGAATAGTCTGATAAGACTACAAACCGGATTTGAGTAACGTAGCACTTCCGGTTTTCGAGAAATCACGAATTTCAAACGAAACCACACAAAATCTCTTTTTTTCTTTTTTTTAAATCAGGTTTTGGTAAACATTTGGTTCACTGGTTTGCTAGTATTTATATAAGTACTTACCTACCACCCACTGTACACATTATGGTTGCAATAAAAGATTTGAGTTTGAGGTAATGTTTTCGAAGATATTAAAGATTTAAAATGCTGGGACATTGCGGTTCCGCCGGTACCGGCCGGGGGCCCAACCTCCGAATTTTGTAGTGCTTCAAAATACTAGTATCTTTTAAGTGCTTTTAGTCATTATTCTGACTAGTGACGTGTCGTTCCCGGATATAGGTAGGTATTAAAAATCTAGGAGTTTCCGATGTGTCTGGGGAATATTTATTTTTGTGTCATGTCGTTTACCCAGTGCGACAGTTCCTACATATGTTTATTTTTTATTTGAAAATAGCTTATAAGAGGAGCAATACACGATCCAGGACCTTTCACTGTCTTGTGGTGTTGTTGTATTTCTGTCGATGAGTAAGGTTATGTTCCACCAGTTTCACCAGTAGACAACAATCCGACATCGTGTCCACGGGGTAGGGGTGTACGGTCAGGGCCTACCCTGACCGTACTATCATTTTTTTATGTAAAAATTCTGGTTAAGAAGCCTACTTGTTGTCCACAATTTTTACATAAAAAAATTGTGTGCACGGACTACACATCTGAAGTGAAACTTCTTTTCTTAAATAACCTAACATTAGGCGGTACAAAAGGCATAGGGGAATGGAGTAGCGCAGCATCACTGATAATATATATATGTTTATATATATATATATATATTTTCGCGTGTGACGTATCGTGACTTTCGTAGCATTTCAGCCTTCGCCGAGTTCCCCTCCTACTTTCATGCTCGTCGGGAAAAGCTACGCTCGCATCCTACACACAGACACACATATATAAATAGTCGTGCGACGCTCGTAACGCATTTCCGTTTCATCTTTTCAATATGATTTTGTCATTTACACCACGATCGAAAAGAACTTTCTCTTCAAAAATGGCTCATCATCATCAGCCTATTAATGACCCCACTGCTGGGGCATAGGTCTTCCCCATGAATGGAATAAAGAGTTTGGGCCGTGATATGACCCACCACGCGGGCCTAGTGCTGATTGGTAGGTAATAACAACTGCAAATGCAACCGGGACCAACAGCTTCACGTGCTTTCCGAAGCACGGAGAAGCTCGACATAATAAGTTTTTGGTCACCCATCCGATGACCGACCATTGCGAAAGTTGCTTAACGACCACTGTCGCAGGCCGAACGCGCTAAGTACCTGCGTCAACGAGCTCCTTATAAAAAAATGGTTGCCGAGGCTTAAGAGCGGACGCGAGATGAGAGACATTTGAGAAATAGGTATTTGAAAAATCTATTGCTGTCACGCACTGGCAAATACCGTGCGATAGGGACAACAGTAGCTCACGCTGAAAATTTCGTATAAAAAATGCAAAATTCAAAGTTTTGCTCTCGACGATGTCCTCCTCGAACATTAGATAGATAGATAAAACTTTATTGTGCACACCACATTCAATTAGTTATATTTAAAATAAATTTTACCAATAGAATAATAAGTAGTTATGCTATGCCTCTTTGATTTGCATTATTGTAAATGCTTATTAAATTTCCACATTGACGTCTTTAGTGGTGATAAAAATTTGTTTATTTTTGTTTTTTTTGAGGACTTCTAATTACTTTGAATCACAAGTTATCGAAAAAGGGAAGACATAGGAGCATGGAATGAGTAAAATAATATTTTTGGTATGAAAATCAATTCTTTTGTGATAAAAATCAAAGAGGAATCTGTCCAGAACGTTTGTATGGAACAAAGATTGCCCGCATCCCTTTAAAATAATAAAATCCTCAGTAAGATAGGATAGATAGATAAATCCAGCAATAACGTTTCCGTAATTCATTTATTTTTAACCTACATTTCTTAATTAATTTTACATGAGATTTATTTATATCTGCCATTCAATAATTAGCATTATTAATTAACAATGGCATCTGGATAAAAATATAACAATTACCGTACTTATAACTTAATATATTTTTAAGTTTCTTTATAGGCATCTGTTTCATGTTGTTCTATTCATCGCCGGCTATGAAGCGGCTAAGTAACAGCTTTCTCCCTCAATTTCAGTTTCCATATCAATAAATTAATATTAGTACCTTACTAAGTAGTAATTTAATCGGTGGCTATTCACAATGCCAGCGATATCTCACATAATATTATATGACTCTATAATAACCCAATCCTTTCTCGTTAATAGTAAGCAATAGAACAAGTCCCTAAGATCTAAATACTAAATCGCTCTATAGAAAATCACTCGCTTACACAGTAGCGGTAACTATGAAGTACTCAAGTTCAAGTTAATATCGATATCAAATTTTAAATACCTACGTAAAAGAAATACCTAGTCATTTTCGTTTCTACTTTTAGAATTAATAATAATCTAGGTATAATAAATTAATTTAATGCTGATATAAACAGGCATCCCTAAAAATCTACCCCTCTTGTGATTCCTACTAAGCGCTTGTAACTCACAGAGATATAGTCTCCGTTTTAGTCGCACGCATTATTTAGGGGAGTTGTTCAAAGCTGTTCTCCCCCAACAATATTTCCATCATAATATATTGAAATAAGCACCATCACAACATTACTCTACCACGCCTTGTGGCGTATGAAATTTCTAGACGTGTGAATACAGTTGTCTGTATTGTTAGACAAATTATTATTTTACACGAGGGTGCGTGACCTGGAAAGGTGGCACCACACGACACGTCTAGAAATTTCATTGGTTCATACTACTTATGAAAAAGAAATAATGCATATTTTAAAACAAAGCGTCAGTAACATGTAATATATCTCATTACGGCCGAAAATGTTGAGCACGCTCAAGTTAATGATTGTTTCTGTTATGCCGCAATTACATTTGGTCGTTAGCCCGTTTTTGGGTGCACGAAAGACATAATACGAATACAGGCACCTGAAGCAATATTTACACTACGATACGGACTGGAAGGCGGTGTCGGGTCATCATCATCATCATACTAACATATACAACTAACTATCTCTAGGCTAACGATCAAGTATAATTGCACCATTAATCAATAACAATAGAACTTTCGGAATCAACATCTAATAATTGGAGTACTGTGAAATCTGTCGCATGATTGACATGTTTGTTACTGATAAAAGTATCTCATTATTTGACATTGTATGTAACCAGGCGGCCAAGTACAGCCAATAAATAGCATTGCCTGGCAGCCATAGACTTAAAGAATAATCTTAATATATATAAATCTCGTGTCACAATGTTTGTCCTCAATGGACTCCTAAACCACTGAACCGATTATAATAAAATTCGCACACCATGTGCAGTTCGATCCAACTTGAGAGATAGGATAGTTTAAATCTCAAATTATAGTCGCAATTTTAATTTATTGCAAATTATTACTTTTGGGCGGTACGAAGTTCGCCGAGTCAGCTAGTAATAAATATAATCAAGGTGATTATATTTATTATTATTCTTAAGTCTATTCAGTGATAATTATAACTGGACAGACAAGTTTGTAAAATTTACATTAGATAATAAAAATCGAAGTATTATTCCGAAACAGTTCAGATCAATTCCAAAAGTTTCATGACTTGATTCAATCATTGAATACGGCGAATTATAATGATGGATTTTTCAAAAATTACAAGGATTAAGAACCTAATTAGACATTGTTACTGTCATTAGCTACAATGTTGGAGCACCGTTTGTTCTTGATCAACGAACGAATCAAAGAAACGTAGACCAGTAGACCACGTTCAGTATGAAGAATGAGAAAGGGAAGAAGAAGCGTGAGAACCGATCGATATATACCGCCGTCTCCCTCCCGTTGCAGAACGTGTCATATTGAGGTATTGAGGCTGATGTACTCGCTCTCGGATCCACGGTGTTCGGAAATATGTGCTGAAAAAGAGAATTGAAAATTACTAGCTGGTTCCAACTGGGTACTTCAACTGACGATTTTATTCATCTATTTCATCACATTTAACTCTTTTTGTTACATAAAGTACTCTACTCTATTCTTCAAGAATCAGTTCAAGTAGGTATCTCCAATTCTCCATTTCAAAAATTTAAGAAAATCATACCGTAGTTATCCTAAGTCCTGTGTCCCCAAAATTGAATGACCAACAGCATAAACGCTACAAACATGATATCCTTAATTCTTACTTTAAAGGCATCCAGATCCCTAGATAGGTCCTCATCAGAGTACCCCTTCATAACCTTCGTGGCCACCGGGCCCATGTAGTTGTTCACCACGGCGAACTCGAAGAGAGACAGAAACACGAAGACTGAGCAGGAGGACATCCACACGTCGATCGCCTTCACGTACGAGACTGGTGGTAGATTTTGTTGCGATTGGGTGTTTTGGGTCGCTGAAAATATATAGAAATATTTCATTTTAAACGATAGGCGGCACTTACAATCAAGCTACTGTAAAGTCAGGGCGCACAGCTTTAGTCAAACAAGATCATCACAATATTTATTCGAGAAGGGATAAAGGTTAAAGGGGCGTCAGAAGCCGCAAACACCGGCGGGCGTGTATAAAAAAAGATATATGAATACAAAGAAAGCTAATGTTAAGTGTACGGACCGTACCAAGGTGTTGTCAGCAAGCTGTACTTTTTAATATAGAACATAAACTTCCCTTTTCATCGCTCTTAACTTTCTCATCTAAGCGACTTATGATCTACACCTAATTTTCGTAAAAAATATTTAAAAGGCAACTCTGTATAATACCAAATTATTTAAGCAGTTCATGATGCGATTGCCATTTTCGCTGTCATAAACTTTTTAAATGACTTAGCCACTTAAAATCCTTTTGAAGTTTGGTGTAAACCGATATGAGTCATAGGAGTAATCTTTTTATTTTAGATTGCATTTATGCGACTCCTAAGTTTGTTGAAAAAGTATATTAATCTAGAGCTTACCCAAAGTTAGCAGGGAAGTGACTCCAAGCGTGACTCTCGCCGGTATCGCTTCAGGTTTGATCCAGAACGATATCCAGGACATGACGACGATCAGAGCGGAGGGTATGTAGGTGTGGAACAGGTGGTAGCCCAGCCGTCTGCGCAGGTTGAACACCACGGCTAGGCAGGTGAAGTTACCTGGAATGAGAAAATTTATCTAGTAACTAGCGGCCGCCCTCGCTTCGCTTCGGTGTAGAGCTGAAGTGTAGACTACAGTTTTTGTTCTCAGGCTTGTATTATACACAATGACATTCATCTATGATTCTTCTTATACCTCCATGCAAAGTCTCAGCCCGATCGGTTTAAAATTGGCAAAGTTTCATACAAACTTTCATTCCCTATTTTATCCTCTTGGGGATAGAATTGATCAAAATCCTTTCTTAGCGGATGCTTACGTCATAACATCTACCTGCATGCCAAATCATGCCAAATCCAGCCCGATCCGTCCAGTGGTTTGGGCTGTGCGTTGATAGATCACTATGTCAGTCAGTCACCTTTGGGTTTTATATATGTAGATATTGATCGTATTTTTTGTTCATATACCATAACACACGGAGCCAAGGGCGTCGCCATGGGGGGGCAGGGGAAGGCACTATCTAGCTGCAAAGCGACCAAACTGCGAGCAATTGACTGCCTTGCCTTATATTGCCCCATTGCCCCCCCCCCCCCCCCTCCTAGTTATAAGCTGGCGACACCCTTGCACGGAGCTACCTACAAAGAGGAGATGTTGCAGTCTGCTCTAAGAAAACAAAAAAGCCACTACGTAGCGTCGGAGAACATTATCAACGGCGCCATTATCAACACCAGTAGCGATTAGAGAAAATATAAACAAGCTGCTACTTTACTGTTAGGTACCAATAACTTCTGCTTTTATACACTAGATAGAAAGCAGTATTGTCAACGTAAAACAAGAGTTTAATTATATCTTGCTCACGATTTGACACGTTAATATTATCAGATTCTTCATATTCGTTATTAATTACTTTGGATAACTTATATTGTAAATCCGTTTTATATATCGTAGGATGATATGATAAATGAAATTTTTAGATAGATTAGACAATGGCAATGACATTTCTCAATATTACTGAAAAAAGATAGGATTATTGCGAAAATGCTAGTTGAGTTAGTAACATTGAACATATTTTCCTCCGATTGGCTCGATTTTTGCTCGCTGGTCAACTCTTATTCTGATTGGTTCATAGTTTTACCCTATAGCTTTGAGAATTATTATCACAGACTTGTAAAGGGTTAGAGATGGCAACGAATTTTAAACTGCAACTTGTAATTGAATCAGGTGTCTTATTTTATAATAAGTCAACGATAATATAAAATAAGTAAACAATACCTTCCGCAATCTTACCAAGGTGACTGGCAGTTTCGCAAAAATCCTATCTTTTTTTCAGTAACATTGAGAAATGTCATCGCCATTGTCTGATTATACCCGTTTTCTTAAAATTCCTGGGATTTTCCAGTATTTTATCAAATTATCCTACGTCATAGACACAATATTAAGTATCAGTTGTCCCATTTATTCAGCTTTAGTACCTGTGGAGTACTCAATGGTACAGTCAGAGGTGTAGTTGTTGGAGATGTCCAATTGGGGCAACTCGATATCCGGATTCACCACCAGCGGGTCTGTCAGGTTCCAAATGAACACCAGGTCGTGGACAGTGTGAGATACTGTAAAACAACAACTAATATAATAAAGATTGGCATTCGTATAATAGGACGGCCTATTCCAAAACGCGGACTAAAGTTAGTCTTGGTTAAACCTATTGTTGTCTCTGTCTTCCTTTTAGCAAACAAAAGAGACAGCATCAGTTCCAGTCCAGGATTAACGTTTTGTAATAAGGCGGAACATGTTCAGGCCCACTGACACCGAAACTGAAAATTCTAGTAATATATTAAAACCATTGGTTCCACCGTTCTTAAATCTTAATAAGCTAATCATATTTTAGTCTCATCTTATGACTATTAAAACAGGATGAAGCCTTCATTTGTATTGAGATTTTTGGTGCAAGTGTCTATTACTGAAGTGATCTTTTAAGTTCCTTAACTTACACATTTTATTTTTGTATTAGACCCGTACGGTGGTACGTGTGCTGGGTCCATCGTGTGGAAGAGAAGAAACTCAGAGCAGTTCCCAGGACTTGCGACCCAGGTGTAAGTTTAAGGAGGCCCCCTTTGAAATGCGCATCAACGCTCACCTTCACCGCTCGAGTTGCCCGACCTCCATCCATCCATGGTTTGCTAAGAAGTTCGTCTCTGTTATGTAATGTGGACCGTACTCACAGCTTTCTATCATCATGGAGCAGCTTTGTGTGTCATGGGGATAGGACTCGAACTTCATTGCGCACGACAGAACTAATGTCAACCTGAAATGATTAGAAGTAATACTTAACATTACAATAAGGACTTGAAATTAAACCCAAAAACATAAGAACAAGAAGCAAGTGGAAATTGGATCCAAGCTGGCAAAATGGAGCTGGCTGGAGCTACACATTCCTCGCTACATATTCGTCTGCAGCATCAGCATTCTTCAAAGCTGAACTCCAATTACACTCAATATCAGGTGGGGCGGAGCTCTTTTTACAAGGCCAGTAATTTTTTGTGGCTTTAATTTTTGTAATATACAACTAGGCATTAAAATCTGTGAGTGAACAATCGTCCCTATTTCCCCACCCCTAGGGTAGGATTTTTGTTTCCAAATGTATCTAGGACCAACTTTGAGGTACATATACCCTGTCCAATAAAAATCTGCCAAGTGCATGTCGTGCTACGCGTAGTGTACGGTTCCGTAGATATAAGAAAACCACAATAAATTATAATTTATTGTGGTTTTCTTATAGTTTTTTTTTTGCTTATCAATTCAAGGTTTTAAGCGATATAAGCAAAAGATTACTCCATCTTAGTCGCTTTTGATGTGTTCTTCTAAGGAATTTTTATTTTAGAAATTTTCTAAAACATTAGTTGAACTAACAAAAAGAACTAACTTAACCGTCATAATTTTCTTCAATAGTTCACTAAAAGCAATATTATGTATTTTGATTTGTATTCAGATTTTTCAAGCCCATAGTTTAGCATTTAAATGTTTTTTTTTTCTAATTTATATGGGACAAACTTCGGAAGCATTTCCAATACAAATAGAATTATCAAATTCAGACTAGCCTGTAAAAACAATATGCGTGAACGATCATACAAAAATAAAAATATACGTGTCGTCTTAATAACCTCGCCCGTTTGTTTTCGTCATTGAAATTTGAGATTTTTTGAATATCAAATTCTTTAAAATGCATCGGAAAAAAGAAAGATCTTCTCACGGTCGGCCTTTGCAAAAGTAACCTCACCAGTTTACGAGGATTCTAAAAATATTTTAAACTCACTTTGACATGTAGAGCAGAGTCTTATCATGATACAGCCACAGATAGTGGTTGGGAATGCTCATCTCGTGAAAGGTGACCTTCTTCGCGTTCTTGAAGAAGCAGTCGGGTCTCCAGATGTTGTTCAGCCATTCCACGTCCAGAATTCTATACTCCTCGTGCATGTTCTCAGGCAGACGTAAGCGAGGATCCCGCCAAGACTGAGCTAAGAAGATATCAGCTACGTACGTCTACAAAAAGTTGTTCATGATATTATGCAGAACTATGCTTACGAGAAAATCACCACTGGTCCCGTGTGGTAGTGAAAGAAAAATATCTGTATAGACATACATATTTTGATAGCGAAGAACTTTCTATAATACGTCAAAATAAAATAAACATTTACTGTATTTTTGAAGTTATACTTCTTTAGGCGCGTTATGAAAAAATTATGAGAGTGAAATTTTAAGATGCGCGCGCATCACTGTAACACAAAATTTTAACATAATGAAGTTGGTCGCTTTAGCGATTATAGAATCTCTATTTTGTCGGTGCTAACGACTGCATTGTGAAGGCCTATCAAAAGTATTTATTAATCTGGAACAACGGAACCAAAGCGCGATTCAGGAGACTACAGCGCCATCTCTTGACCATTGGTGTAGTAGAACCAAAAACCACATCTTTATTTTTTGTAATAAAGTAACAAAAAGTATTTATTAATCTGGAACGACGGAACCAAAGCGTGATTCAGGAGAGGATGGCGCTGTAGCCATCTCTTGACCATTGGTGTAGTAGAACCAAAAACCACATCTTTATTTTTTGTAATAAAGTAACAGTTATAGGTATTCATATTTATAATATTTATCCACATGTTTCTAGTTTGTATATTCGGAATACGTGTTTGAGTTTCATACAAGTGAATTTGATTGAATATTTTGATTATTTATTTATTTTTTCAAATTAAAACTGAACTTTATTGACTTCGTCCTTTTCCAGACTTTTTATTAATTTATTGTAATTAATTATTTGCATGCAATTAAAAACTAATTTTAAACGATACCAAAGAAGGATAACTTCTCACGCGCCTACATAAGTACACGCACCCATTTTTTTTTTAACGAAATAATTTAAATAAGCACATATAACTTCAGTTAGAGGAACACCTCTAAAGTTATGCGCTCCATGATTGCTTTAAAAGTCTATATACAAAAAACAAGACCAAATGGTATCGCTAGAACGGTGTGCAACATAGAAAGAAGAAGAATCGTCGATGTGTTTAGCTGTGCGAGTGGATACAAATGATGTGTATGTTTCTTGTTGTTGGATATTATGATAAGGCTTTAGTAATATATTAAGCAGTAGGTATATTACCTCAGGTATCGGTATATTTTATATATCCGATATGGTATCAGGTCGCCAGACACCACAGTATAAAGGTAAATACATTGGCAGATTTCACACTTCCAAGTCAGATGAGCTGAAGAATCTGATCAATTATATCGGAACAGCAGCTTACCATACTCTCCTCGTTGATGGAGTCGAGAGACAGCACGGTGACGTGGAAGTATACTACAGTGGGCTGACCGAGGAATTTGGGAGCCCTATTCTTGTCGTAGTACTTCGCCCGCACTGGCAAGATGTCCCTCAGGGACAGACTCGACTCGTGTTTCAGTTCTATTTCCTGATGCGACGCGTTCGTTCTGACAATTTGAAATGCTATCAAGAACAAGTAGGTATAACAATAATTCTAAACTAAAATTGGTATTTTATTTTAAGCATTTAACTAACTGTCGTTTGTATAGACAACCACACATCAAGCTACCACTACAGAGTGCACCACTAGTAACCCATTACTTTGTTGTGTTACAGGTTGCTTCTTTAGGTCTCTTGAAAAACGTATTCCTTGTAGAGGAATGACTAACAGGAAACACTCATGCTGACAAAAGATGCTCAATATCATTTGTTCACCGGCTTAAAAAATTTGATTTACCAACTTAGCTACCTATATAGCACATGTGTTTTTTATTTATAACTACGTCTAATGTAATTTATACGTGGAAGATATAGATACAGGCGCAGAGATACCCGGGGCAGCAGATATATAGGGTGCTGAACTAGCAACTCATTACTTTGTTGTCTCGCAAGGTGCTACTTTAGGCCTCTTTTTAAATAGGCCTTGATATAAGAAGAACGAGTTCTGACAGAAAATCGTGGATAAAAACAACTAAACACTAATACTTACAGAAAACTGACGGCTGCTTGGACTCTGCCAGCTTCGCAATCATCGGAGAACATCATTATTAAGCTCATAGTCATCACCAACACTGATACGTCTACCCTCATCATCAGTTAATATCATAGAGAACTTCTCTTCAATTTGTTGCTATGTATTAATATAATATATTAATATATACTATATACTGATATAAATTCTTTGAGCTACATAATTTTGTTGCATCTGAACTTCGCGAAGAACTAAATCCTTCACTTCTGGTACATAACCTAAAGAGAAAATAGTGTCAGTGTTAAAAGTCCAGTGTACTCTTTAAGATACGTTTCCTGTACCTTATGTGGTACACGCTGGAGGCCTGTGTAACTTTATGGACTTTATAGGCAAAGGCTCATCAAGTTATTATTAATGATCTTTGTATATATAGTAGATACTGTAGGGGAAAATCAAGGGGCCTTATCCAGGTAGGCTTGCCAGGTGCCTGGCTTTAGCCGGACATGTTTGGCTTTTTGCGGTCGCGTCCGGCCAAATATGTACGTGTTTGGCCTGTCCGGCTTTTTTGAGGCTTTTTGTCAGAGTGGCGATTCGTACGACGATGGGCGGACGAGCGTCCGAGCGGACAAGAGAGCAAACTGTTTGGGCGCGCGGCGCGTGACTACCCCGCCCCGCTGTCTGATATAATAAACTAGCAAACCAGTGAACCAAATGTTCACCAAAACCTGATTTCTCGAAAAACGGAAGTGCTACGTTACTCAAATCCGGTTTGTAGTCCTATCAGACTATTCTTAACTTATAACTTAAATATTCTCTTTATCTATCTCTTACGGTTTGGCCGCTGAAACAGCACCACGGACAGACGGACTCGTCTAATAGATAAGAGATATGTCCGGCTTTTAGGGCAAAATGTCAGGCCTTATATAGTGCGCAGTCCGGCCTTTGCATTTTATGGCCTGGCAACCCTATATCCAGGGGATAGAATTACACCATCTATCAAAATTATACTTAAATTTAGCGCAAACAAAACGTAAATTCGTTCATTGGTCACATGCAATACTGTTTCAAGGCAAGTCTCCCGGTTTTTCCAAAACGATAGCATTAAAAGAAACTAATCGTAAAATAAAAAATATGCCTCCCCTTATCAGACCAAGTTACCCAACAGATTAGAAGCATGTTTATGCATGTTCACGTATGATATTTCTGTATATAGAACACGTGTGATGAGCACATGCATATTTTTTTATTGAATTGGAAGTCGTACAACATGCTACAAACGTAATCTTGTTAAAATACTCGTATTCGTTTAACTCGAGGTGTGAAACACTGACTTTGCTAAGAGGCAAAGATTAAGCGTAGGATTTCTTTACATTTTAAACATACAGTATAAATTCTAATGCCCGTTTGCAAAACTATGACAAAGCTTACATTACGCCTAAAATAAATTTTAGTCTTTAATTTTTTGCAGTGAAACTTCTTTACGCACCCTTGACTTGGGGGGGGGGGGGAGGTGGCAGAATACGTTACGCGTTACAAAAAGTGTGTTCGGGCGGGGCGTATATATATGCGTACCGATGGAGCTAAAGAAGTTTCACTTCAGTCGTGTGTTCATAAGCACACTCGTTTTTTTTTTAATTTAGAATACAGTGCAGTACTAAATATTTATGAATGAGTTTAAAAAGTTTAGTCAGTGACCTTCTATACATGTATAGAGCTTAGTGCAAACGGCCATGACTCTGTGGCGGCGACATCTACACGCCCCACATATAACTAACATGGAGGTAACAATCTTACGCCTCCTCAAGAGATGGCGCTACCGGCGCTGCGTTCACAACGTAAGGAAGCCTACATCGCGCAAGTAAAATTCGGTAGCCAACAGTTCATATATACGATGCCCGACCAACATCAGTCGGGCCGCGGCCCCCGAGCTAACATTACCCAGCTCGGAGGAAGATCTTCCCCTTTGGCCTTCCTACAACCCAAAAAAAAAATTTTAATCCAAAAACATTTTACTAGAACAATATTCAAAAATATTATCGTGACGAAACATACCCTCACTTTTAAATATTGTGTATTTTAACTCTTAAAAAACATACCCTCGCTTATTTATACTTTTTAACTCTTAAAAATCATGTATTTTATTTACGGCTCTACATTAAAGATATTTAATAAATACCGTTGCTCTACTCCTTACTAACTATAACTAATGAACATTAGGATTTACAAAATCATTGTCTTTGACTTTGAAAATAAAATTTGTATTGTGTTCGACCATACAAAATACTGGACTAGAGCAAATATATAAACCCATTAATGTGGGTTGCTTATACGGATGACGCCACTATAAGGTTTCATTACTCGATATAGAAAGCAGGGTTGTTCATGTGTTTCAACTGTTTTGTATGCCTATAACTCTATAAGCTAACAGCCAAGGTTGGAAGTATTCAATTACCATAAAATTAAATAATTAGCGATAATATTTTTACCATTACAGTAGAATTAGATAAATCAGTTAAACCTTATCTGATGAAAAGGTTGTACCGTAAATAATTATTTATTTTTACGAGCTGAACATGACTTTTAGAAAGCTGTTTTTTTTTTCAGCAATGCCATTATTTTATTCTTACAAAATACCTATTGGAATAAATGTAAAAATATAGATATTATATAGTACTAACTACGTACTTCTTTATTATTTGTATGGTTAAAGATTAAACGTCAATCTTTATGTGTTTCATATGTAAATAAAAGATGAGATAATACTTATATAGATATTTTTTGTTTAAAAATATCGATCTGTGTACCTATCAAAAATAGTTAAAAAATCTGAAATTTTATTTTATTTAAATTCAACACAGAAGACTCGCTCAACAAAAAATGTTTGTGAAACTAGCAATGTTAAATTTTCTTTTTTTTTATTTTATATACCTATTTAAGTCCTCAACTGAAACGCCCGAGCCCCAGTAGCTATTTTAATGCATTTTTAGTAGAAATTGTTAAAAGCAAAATTTGTTCGAAATAGAAATTATTATCCTAATAGTTACAGCAGCCATTTCCGAGATAAGTACGAGAAAAATACCTACAATAAAGCTATACCCAAATATATATAATCACTTTGCGTGTCTGTCTGTATATTCGCTTCTTCTAAACTACCATGTTTCACCATCCGATGATATTTTTTTTGCACGGTCAAGAATAAAAACTATAGGTTAATGTATGGCGTGAAACAATTACTAAAGTAACGTTTAAAATATATATATAAAACATACCAAATTCCACTTCATAAAATAAAATCGTCCATACACTAGTTGCTAATAACAAAAAAGTTCAAACTTTTATTTTTTCATGTTCCCATTTGCTGTCACAAAAACACTGGAAATATTTTTATTATTCGATTAGTTTTTTCGTATACGTTTAACATAATTGTTTGATTTAATTAGTAGATGTATAACACAGCCTGTAGTCAGGAACACACTGGCTGAGTGTAGTAAGGATCGTCGGACGAGGTTCGGTTACAAGCGTGCTTGCATAAGCGTTTTATCCAACCTTAGGTAGTTTTAGTAATATATTTGTGTATCGAATTATCTGTTCAGATAAACATGAATCTCTTCTTCCCTTGGTCGCGCCATAACTTGATAACGACTGTATCATCATCATCATCAGCCGTTTAATGTCCCCACTGCTGGGGCACAGGCCTTCCCTATGGATGGAATAGGAAGTACACTGACGACTGTATATCTTAATATAATTGTATAAATTACGCGTCACGTTGTTTGTCCGGGGTGGACTCCTAAACTACTTGACCGATTTTAATCTAATTTGCACACCATGTGCTAACTTGAAAGATGGGATAGCTTACATCTCAATTTACAGTCGCAATATTATTTTATTGCAAATTATTACTTTTGCCCGGTACAATAAAGTATCATAAAGTTGGGTTAAAAATTAACAAATTAAAAAAAACCTGAACATGTAACTGTATTAAAAATTAGGCTTTATTTTTAATTTTATTTGACAGGACAACGTCTATTTTTTCCCCTCCCAAGTGGGGGAGCGCATGTGAAATCCTCATGGATACTCTACAGCATGCTCCAGGGTTATGATATCAGAGTCTTACTGACTAAAACACCTATCGGGGGACGCCTATGGTCATAAGCAGAGGCGTCTTTACCTATGGTGCAGCGGGCGCACGGTCCTAGGGGTACGAGCGAGATGCGGTGAAGTCCCTCAACGGGGATCACTTAACAGCGTAGAGGGTATTCGCAGGGTTTTTAGCGGATAGTATGCCGCAAGCGCTCGTAAGCCGCGTGAACTGCTTATCGGCTTTTTCGTTTCGCACTCGTGAGACTGGCGAGAGGCTAGGTAAGAGGTCCGTTCGTTAGTGTACCCTTAAGGGCGCCAACGTCTGTAAATAGAGGTTTTGCTTGCGTAATAAAAAAAGGCAGCGCTGAGCGCCGCGGCGCCGCGCCGGCGCTACTCGCTACGAATCCCCACTCGGCGCACGCGTTGACCGGCCGCGGTACTTTTATGGACCAACGTAATAAAAGCTCCGCTTTGCATACATTTTGTAGAGCATCTGGAGCTCTTCTTATATTTGTCGAATTACAGCAAAGCAAGGCGCTCCACGAGAGGTTTTACAATATAAACTTTTAAGGAATAAACTTCATAAAAATATATATATTTAGTGTAGTTAGTAAGTGTCGCATAGCTCGTGTCAGCACCGGCGCCGCCTGTTTCAATGATTCGTTTGAAAATATGCCGGACATCATATTGCGAATAATGCGACTGCAACTATTTAAAATAGAAAATAAAGTTTAAATGAGAAGTTACAGTTCTGTAATGAAATCGAATTATTACCGACGTTTATTGATAATTCCATAAGATATTTTAAATAACTTGTTTACGAATACTTTAATTAGTGCCCCAAATCTATCCACAGCACTTTGGGTTTTACCTCACATGGCCAGTCAAAATAGCACACAGCGAAAGATTTGCAAAACCAAAAATGATTAAAAACTGTCTTCGCTCACAAAGTCGATTGCCAAATTTATCGTTAGTAAGCTTTGAACATGATATAGAAATTGAAGTAAGTGACATAACTAGGGATTTGACATTAGACGGG